CGCCGCCCTGAGGCGCTCGGGGGCTGCCACCGCCGACCAGAAGATGGTCCTGGGGCCCCGGGATGTCCTCCCCCGAGGGTGGGGCCCGCCGGCGAATTGGCGCGGGTCCCTTGTAGTGACACACACAGTAGCGAGTTTAGGGTGGGAGGAGCAGACGGGCGGGAGAAAGCGGGTTTTCTCTCCTGGGGAGAATCGCTTAGTGTTGGGTCAGGAATGAGGCTTCCCTGGTTCACTCATCCCTAACTAAAGATCAGTGGAGTTTTCTGTTGGAACAAGTGTGGAAACAAATGAGCTCGTCCATTGCAGTCTTGTTTTTAGGAGGACTTTTTGATTTAGCAAATGGGTGAGTTCTGCATTAACAAATGGATCAAAAGCCCAGGTCACGTTGTGACCTCCATGGCCCAGGGAGGAAACAGATCGAGTTTCCAGTTTCCTTCATTTGGAAATTAGGACCTAGGAATCGTGAAGTCCGTGGCTTTTCGGTAATTTAGAGGAAATACCTGTGCACTCCGTGAGAAGCAGATGTCTCCCCAAGACCCCATGAGATCCGAGAAGGCCCAGCTGTAGTCCAGTAGTCCCAGTGGCGTGCTTGCTTCTCAACACTTGCAAAGATTAAGTTAGGGATTGTGGTGACCAACTCTACTAACAAAGTCAAAAGTTAATTTCCATTTATTTGTTTTTCAATCAGTTGGAATTATGAACTTTAATTGTTTCTGAAGCCCTTATTTAGTATGTTAAACTGTCTCAAGAGTCTGTTTAGAGTTCCCCCAAAGAAAAATAATTAGCAAGTGTTTTAATAGGTTTCTCTCCAAAATTCTATTCTGTTTTCCTTCTCAGTTGTACCTGAGAGGTCTGTTAGCATGCCATTGTGAAAAGGCTTGTGCATTTATAAAATTTAAAGGAGGTCCTCTGATGCAGAACTGTGAAATACAGATATATACTGAGCTCAATTCTTTAAATTCTTCTACAGAATCACTCCAATCTTTAAATACACAAGTGCATTGAAAAGTTTGACTTTCTAAAAATACTGAACTTGATTGAGCTTTTTAATTTGTCAGTGACCGTTAGCCAAAAACCACCAAGAAGACACTTGTTTAATTAAATTGGGTTCTCATAGAACAAGGAATACACACCATGTGGCCTCTTAGAAAATGCTAATTTTCTGTGAGATGTGATTTTTAGATAGGGTTTCAGGAAGAAAGGCTTTATTCTAGAATGCATGTTATAAAGAAATGAGAGTATTTCTAGGATTGTGTATGTTAATTCTTAAAAGCAAAAGACAGATCAAGGCTAAAGCTGTTATTGATAAAGAAGCAATCACTCATCTGCCAGAAGAAAGGGATGTTTGCTCATTCCTGAGGTTTGGGCAATGATTTTGTTTTTGTCAGTGTGCAGACATGGTGGAGTGATCTTGGGTTTGTTTTTTTGTTTTTGTTTTTTTTTGTTGTTGTTGTTGGTTTTTTTTTTTTTGGTACCGGGGCTTGAACTCGGGTCCTTGCGCTTGCAAGGCAGGCCACCGAACTGCTGAGCTAAATGCCTGGCCCTTGGGTTTGTTTTTTTGTTGTTGTTTTGCTTTGTTTTGTTTTTTGTACCGGGGATCATACGTGGGTCCTTGCACTTGCAAGGCAGGCGGCAGAATCACTGAGCTAAATCCCCAGCCGTTTTGTTTTGTTGAGACAGGGTCTTGCTATGTAGTCCAGGCCAGCCTTGAACTACTATGTAGCCCAGGCTGGCCTCAAACTCACAGCAATCCTCCTCCCTCAACCTTTGCAGTGCTGGGATTATAGGCATGTGCCACCACGCCTGACTATATTGTTTTTATCTTGATCCATCAATCATGGAGTGACCTTGTCTAATGTTAGTTTTAACAAGAGAACATCATAGCCTAGCTGTGATCACTCACCAACTCCTGATAACGCCTGTGTAGACCTACCCAGGCCCACTCCCAGTTATCCAAGACTGCTTTCACTTTGTCTTCTTTTTTAATACTTTTTCTTAATAACTAAATGTATTTAATAATAATAACTGTAAGCATATTTAAGTAATACGTTTAATAGTTTAAGAACATTCCTATGGTAGAATCTGTGCTTTCTGTATCTTTTGTTGCCCCAAAGGCTATTGGCTCTAATTATAATCCTCGTAATAGGAGAATAAAAGTCAAGTCTATAATATCACATTTTGCCTAAATGACTCATCTCTTTGTAAGATATATGTTTACAGCGTGTATTAAAACATAATACCCAGTGTTGAAAGTTTTAAAATAATTTTATTTTACAGCAAACATTAAATCAGACACAAACAGATTCCCCATCCCCTAATCCTGTGTCACCAGTGCCTTTGAATAACCCAACAAGTGGCCCAAGATATGGAACTGTGATACCCAATCGAATCTTTGTAGGAGGAATTGACTTTAAGGTACTTATTTTGCATGCAGCATAGAGGGTTTTTTTGTTGTGTGTGTGTTTTTGGTTTTTTTTTTTTTACAATTTTTTGCATTAGAAGGTATTTCTCAGGTTTGTGCAACTACAGAGATACATAGCATCTGGATATTAATAGGTTTTAGATTGTCTTAATTTAAAGAAACTGTAAGTTAAGTAATACAAGTATAATAAGTTTCATTTCATATGCAAGGAAATCGAAGCTTATTTACATGCTGTATGCTCCTAGCTACTTAGTGGCAGACTGAGTCTAGAATCCTACTTTTCTGACTAGTTACATGTTCTTCATGTCACCATAACACACTAATTATACTTCCTTATATAGTATGCCAATTACCCAAATAATGGGTAATTAAATTTTTCAAGAAAAACTTACTCTCAACATTTATCTGGGGTTTCTGAGCAATCCCCTAGACTTCAATCTTCCAAATAACTTTCTATGATGGAATTTAAAATTTCATCACCAAAAAAGGCCTCTGACATTGTCAGAGTAGGGCATCTTGATAGTAATATACTTTAAGTCAGATAATTGGCCATTTCACTCTTGAAAAGAATCACAGATATGAGTTGATTGGCAGCACCCCACGTGGAAGATGGTAAGCACCTACAAGAAAGGCAAGTGTAAAGGCAAGTGTAAATATCTAAAATCAAGCACCCTACCTTTCAAAGGGATATATAGGATTCCTAAGTTTTCATATCATGCGCTAGAAATCATAGGGAGAGATATCTATTTAACAAAGAAAAATCCTTGTGCCATTAGGTATGATTTTTGACATTTATAACTTATTATTTTCATATAATCAATCTCACTAGGTAGAATTACGTTTTTCCTACTTAAAAAATCTTAGTATATTTGCTAAAATAAGTCTTATGTATGTAATTGTTTCACTAAAAATAATTATTTCTTGTAAGATATTTATTTTTTAAAAGATTTTCTGTGTCTGTGAAAAAAAAATGACTGACCAGAAGTATTCAGTATGGGCATTCCTATTTAGAATTCATACAATTTGCCAGGTGTGGTGGTGCATACCTGTAATCCCAGCTCTTGGGAGGCTGAGGCAGGAGGAGTCGCTGTGAGTTCGAAACCAGCCTGGGCTACATAGTGAGTCCCAGGTCGGTCTTGACTACATAGTGAGACCCTGTCTCAAAAATTAAAAAAAAATTCATACAACTTAGTGTATTTTTAAAGTAAGTCATCAATATTTCTATAGCCAGGTTATTCTAAATTACCAAAGTCTGCAATATGAACTTTGGAGGCCATTATTACTGTACAGCCATAGCTTTCAGGTAACTGCTAGGGTTCCTTCCCTTTGCTTCTGTCTTTTCCAAGACCATAGAAAAATGCCAGCAAAGAAGTAGTTCACTGTAGTAGCAGGCAGTCTTAGACTTTTCAAACACCTTATTTTTAGAAGCCTGCAGAAATCCCTCTTAATGTTTAATTATCTTGACTTTCTGTCCTTACTTGAGTGAAGAAGTTGGAGGTGCAAAATTGAGCTGATACTTATACTAGAGAATAGCTTGAACTAATGTGTTTTTAAATCTCTAACAGTAATTCTTATTCTAGCACATTCCATTTTGTGTTTATTGAAATAAAATAGGTTCGCTTAGTCTTAGATTAACTCAGACTTTGTCATCTTCCAGATTAGCAGGCTTTGTATTATCAAGCAAAAACCAATAGTTCATTTAAATAGTTAACAGTTGAATTCAAAAGGCACAGCTACACTCTAAGACATGTCTATTTCTTACATAGATAAAGACATTTTCCCCTAGGGATATTTACTTTTAGAGACAAACCATTGCAACTGAACCAGAAAATGAAATTGCAATTAATTTAGTGTACACACTCTGAGAAAAGGTACCGTGAATCTGTTATCAGACTATTTCAGATAAAACCAGATAAGCCCAAATGATCTTTATATACATCTTATATAAGTCTAATTATGACTATTGTGTTTACTTTGAATATCCTGTCTGTATTTAAATGAAATGTATATTGAATACAGATAAAAGTATCTAATAATTTTAAGTCTTGCAGCCGATCAATTTTTCTCACAAATTCAGTTTAGGCACTTTAGGAAATACATTCCTTTTCCACAATATGAGTCTTCTTGGAGACTGCTGAATATTATAAAGTGACTGGTGTAGGACAACTCATGTAGTTCCGCTCCATGATTGTTTATCCCCTTGAGTCACTAGAGCCAACAGTAATATGTCCTTACTATGTTTGTAGCTCTTAATCCAAAGTATTTTTTTAAACTGGCTAACTACAGAATAAGATTCACTTAAAATTATTTTAAATAGTGAACCTTCTTTACAGTTTCAGAATATGTAGCTCAGTTTAGATGTAGTTCAGTTTAGTTTTATTTGTGTATAATAGTTTAAGGACACAGCTAATGGGGCCAGGAATTTAGCTCAGTGGCACCGCACCTGCCTTGCAAGTGCAAGGTCCTAAGTTCGATACCTGATACCAAAAAAACAAAAACAAAAAAAGCATAGCTAAAGTATAAAACAAAATATTTATATTGATTTTACTAGTGGTTTCATGTGCTATTTTAATGAGAGACATTTAATCATATTATTTATAACATTTTTGTCTCTAAAACAACCATAAGTTACTTCATCTTCTATTAATGATATCTTAATTTTTTCTTTTTATGCCATTAGACAAATGAAAATGATCTGAGAAAATTTTTTTCCCAATATGGGTCTGTAAAAGAAGTGAAGATAGTAAATGACAGAGCTGGAGTGTCTAAAGGGTTAGTATTACTGCAAATAGTACAGAGAATTAACACTTGTATTTTTATTGGATATTACTAAATGTTGTGTGCTAATTCCATTTCATTTTTTGACAGAAAATTTCATGCCATCTTTTCCTTCTGACTTTTGATCTCCATGTGTGTGTTTGTGCATGTATGTGTTTTGATGGAGTAAGAAGGGACACTATAATATCCCATAATTTCTTGGGAATTTATTGTGTGGGCTGAAGGAGCCATTCAGTGTCAGGCAGCAAGTCTTAATGTTGAAGGGCAAATTGTACTGTAAGTAAGGAATCAGAAGTTAAAAGATCGGATACTTTGGGAACTATCTCTGCTTTATACTGTGGAGTACTTCATCTGCAAGGAGCTGACCCCATGGAAGGTCTGTAGGTTGTATCTCAGAGACATAATTAGGAGACTAATATGAAAAATAAACCTCTAATGAGAATGGTTTTTCTCATCTCAAAGAGAATGAAAACTGAAAAGAAAGCAATAAAATGTGTGAAAATGCATATAGCACTGTTCCAATGAATTGCTGTGTACAGAAACCAAATTTCAGAGAAGAAAAAAATTGCAACTTGCCTAGTACATTCACTTAAGGGGTTATATTGTAAAAGAAAACAGATAATATAGTGGCTTTTAGTAAAATATTTTGCTTATTTTACTGAAGAAAAGGTGTTAACCTAGTTATAGAAATAAGAGGACTGATAAGGTGGGTAGAAAACATTATTACTGAGAAACAAAAGATAAGTAACAAGTTGAAGAGATGGGACCCCACAGGGATGTTAAACACATAAAATACTTCCATAGACTTCCAAAAATATTAAGAGGAATTACTATTACACTGCTTTGGTTAGCAGATTTTGAATTCATTTTATAATACCACTTTTCATCCAGAAAAACACACATTGAAATACATATATCTGTGTTTTATGCATTTTCCATTGGGTGGTGTATGTGTTCTACCAAAAATAATTAGTATAAAAATAATCCTTTTATTTAATGTTGAGTAAAAGAGATAAAAAGAAGTTCCTTGTTGAAAAAGAAGCTGTTTACATTTGATCCAATAATTATGAAACAAAAACATGGAAATAGGGATATTTAGCATTAGTCAAAATAACTTAAGTTTCTAAATAGAAGTGATTTGGTAGATAGATTTTTTTGGGGTTTTTTTTCTACCTAGTTTGTTTTTTTGGGGCATGGCATACATTATGTTTTCATATCTTGAACATTATATGACCTGTACTTAAGGTAGCAATCATATATGGAAAGTAGATATAAAATCTAGGTTGTATACATTTCTAGTTGATATTTGAGAAATATACAATTTATTGTGCTAATAATAAAGTATATATTTGTATAGTCTTTTACCAATACAATTTTACTATGTTGAAATTTTAATTTTCTAAAGTTCTTTTTCTGTTTTGATTATTGTATTTAAACCTTTTCTTTTTTTTTTTTTTTTTTTT